GTATATTAATCTGCAGTCCATGGATTGTGCACACCCTATACATGTAAAGTAGTATATTAATCCCCAGTCCATGAATTGTGCACACCCTATACATGTAAAGTAGTATATTAATCCCGAGTCCATGGATTGTGCACACCCTATACATGTTTAAAGCAGTATATTAATCTACAGTCAATAAATTGTGCAAGCGCTATACATGTAAAGTAGTATATTAATCCCCAGTCCATGGATTGTGCACACCTTATACATGTAAAGCAGTATATTAATCCCCAGTCCATGGATTGTGCACACCCTATACATGTTTAAAGCAGAATATTAATCTACAGTCCATAAATTGTGCAAGTGCTATACATGTAAAGTAGTATATTAATCCCTAGTCCATGGATTGTGCACACCCTATACATGTAAAGCAGTATATTAATCCCCAGTCCATAGATTGTGCACACCCTATACATGTTTAAAGCAGTATATTAATCTACAGTCCATAAATTGTGCAAGCGCTATACATGTAAAGTAGTATATTAATCCCCAGTCCATGGATTGTGCACACCCTATACATGTTTAAAGCAGTATATTAATCTACAGTCAATAAATTGTGCAAGCGCTATACATGTAAAGTAGCATATTAATCCCCAGTCCATGGATTGTGCACACCCTATACATGTTTAAAGCAGAATATTAATCTACAGTCCATAAATTGTGCAAGTGCTATACATGTAAAGTAGTATATTAATCCCTAGTCCATGGATTGTGCACACCCTATACATGTAAAGCAGTATATTAATCCCCAGTCCATAGATTGTGCACACCCTATACATGTTTAAAGCAGTATATTAATCTACAGTCCATAAATTGTGCAAGCGCTATACATGTAAAGTAGTATATTAATCCCCAGTCCATGGATTGTGCACACCCTATACATGTTTAAAGCAGTATATTAATCTACAGTCAATAAATTGTGCAAGCACTATACATGTAAAGTAGTATATTAATCCCCAGTCCATGGATTGTGCACACCCTATACATGTAAAGCAGTATATTAATCCCCAGTCAATGGATTGTGCACACCCTATACATGTTTAAAGCAGTATATTAATCTACAGTCCATAAATTGTGCAAGTGCTATACATGTAAAGTAGTATATTAATCCCCAGTCCATGGATTGTGCACACCCTATACATGTAAAGCAGTATATTAATCCCCAGTCCATGGATTGTGCACACCCTATACATGTTTAAAGCAGTATATTAATCTACAGTCCATAAATTGTGCAAGCGCTATACATGTAAAGTAGTATATTAATCCCCAGTCCATGGATTGTGCACACCCTATACATGTTTAAAGCAGTATATTAATCTACAGTCCATAAATTGTGCAAGTGCTATACATGTAAAGTAGTATATTAATCCCCAGTCCATGGATTGTGCACACCCTATACATGTTTAAAGCAGTATATTAAACTACAGTCCATAAATTGTGCACACCCTATACATGTTTAAAGCAGTATATTAATCTACAGTCCATAAATTGTGCAAGTGCTTTACATGTAAAGTAGTATATTAATCCCCAGTCCATGGATTGTGCACACCCTATACATGTTTAAAGCAGTATATTAATCTACAGTCCATAAATTGTGCAAGCACTATACATGTAAAGTAGTATATTAATCTGCTGTCCATGGATTTTGCACACCCTATACATGTAAAGGGGTTTATTAATCTACAGTCCATGAATTGTGCACACCCTATACATGTAAAGGGGTATATTAATCTACAGTCCATGAATTGTGCACACCCTATACATGTAAAGTAGTATATTGATCCCCAGTCCATGGATTGTGCACACCCTATACATGTAAAGGGGTATATTAATCCCCAGTCCATGGATTGTGCACACTCTATACATGTAAAGGGGTATATTAATCTACAGTCCATGAACTGTGCATGCGCTGTAACATGTAAAGCAGTATATTAATCCGCAGTCTATGGATTGTGCAAGCACTATACATGTAAAGGAGTATATTAATCCGCAGTCCATTAATTGTGCACGCACTATACATGTAAAGGGGTATATCAATCCGCAGTCCATGGATTGTGCAATCACTATACATATAAAGGGTATGTTAATTCTTCATCCAAGGATCGTACATACAAAGTACATCGAGAGGGTTGCAGTACTTCCAGAACAAAATTTTTATTCAGTCAAAATTAAAATGAATATAACAGATATTATAAATTGACTAACTGCTTCAGAGTATTTCAAATATTTGGGCCCCAAAACATTTTTTTCATTATAGTTCTCTCATGTTGGTTTTATTTTTCAAACAGGAATACGAATGATATCAGATGTATACACATGAGGTTTATAGTAAGATATCATACTATATATGCAAGCTTAATTGTACAATGCTGTTTTCCAATGCTCTGTTGTCTTGTTACATTTCGTCGTAATCCTAAGTTAGGGATGTTTAACGAACTACACTAATTTATGATATAAGTCGGACGGTCTGTGTTTTCTTTTCAAGATGTTCCTTTTAACATAATGACTCTCGACCCCATTGTCCATTAAAGTATTCAATAAATTTCAGGTGTTATCATGGTTATTAGCTTTGTCAAAGGAAGATAACATGACTTTCAAATTATTCAATACAACTTGAATATAAAATGCTTCGCTGGGGCGCAGCTTGATACGACCGCAGAGGTCGAACCCTGAACAGTTGGGGCAAGTATGGACACAACATTCAAGCTTGATACAGCTCTGAATTTGGATTGTTATTAAATATTTGACACAGCATAGGTTACTGACACAGAAAGAATGTGGTCTAAGAACTTGAATTTTTTTAATTTACCTATTATGGTCCAATGTCCAAAATCAAAATACATGGTTAGATTCAGCATATCAAAGAACCCCATATATTCAATTTTTGTTAAAATCAAACAAAGTTTAATTTTGGACCCCAACTTGGACAAACTTGAAAACTTGGCCCATAATCAAAAATCTAAACACATGTTTAGATTCAGCATATCAAAGAACCCCAAAAATTCAATTTTTACTAAAATCAAACTATGTTTAATTTTGGACCCTTTGGACCTTAATGTAGACCAATTTAAAAAACGGGACTTAAAATTAAAAATCTAAATACACGGTTAGATTTGGAATATCAAAGAACCCCAATAATTCAATTTTTGATGAAATCAATCAAAGTTTAATTTTGGACCCTTTTGACCTCAATATGAACCAATTTGATAGCGGGGTCCACAAATAAAAAATCTAAATTCATGGTTAGATTCAGCATATCAAAGAACCCCATATATTCAATTTTTGTTGAAATCAAAAAAAGTTTAATTTTGGACCCCAACTTGGACCAACTTGAAAACTGGTCCCATAATCCAAAATCTAAACACATGTTTAGATTCAGCATATCAAAGAACCCCAAGAATTCAATTTTTGTTAAAATCAAACTAAGTTTAATTTTGGACCCTTTGGACCTCAATGAAGACCAATTTAAAAAAAACGGGACCCAAATTAAAAATCTAAAAACACGGTTAGATTTGGCATATCAAAGAACCCCAATAATTCAATTTTTGATGAAATCAAACAAAGTTTAATTTTGGACCCCAATTTGGACCAACTTGAAAACTGGGCCCATAATCAAAAATCTAAATACATGTTTAGATTCAGCATATCAAAGAACCCCATATATTCAATTTTTGTTGAAATCAAACAAAGTTTAAATACTGGACCCTATCTTGGACCAACTTGAAAACTGGGCCCATAATCAAAAATCTAAACACATGTTTAGATTCAGCATATCAAAGAACCCCAAGAATTCAATTTTTGTTAAAATCAAACTAAGTTTAATTTTGGACCCTTTGGACCTTAATGTAGACCAATTTAAAAAACAGGACCCAAAATTAAAAATCTAAATACACGGTTAGATTTGGAATATCAAAGAACCCTAATAATTCAATTTTAGATGAAATCAAATAAAGTTAAATTTTGGACCCTTTTGACCTCAATATGAACCAATTTGATAACGGGGTCCACAAATAAAAAATCTAAATACATGGTTAGTTTCAGCATATCAAAGAGCCCCATATATTCAATTTTTGTTGAAATCAAACAAAGTTTAATTTTGGACCCCAATTTAGACCAACTTGAAAACTGGGCCCATAATCAAAAATCTAAATACATGTTTAGATTCAGCATATCAAAGAACCTCATATATTCAATTTTTGCTAAAATCAAACAAAGTTTAATTTTGGACCCTTTGTACCTTAATGTAGACCAATTTGAAAACTGGACCCAAAATTAAAAATCTAAATACACTGTTAGATTCGGCATAACAAATAAATAAAAGTGATCAAAGATTTTACAAATCTAATGCGCCATACTGTGCAATTAAAGATTACTTCTTGAAATTTTTCAATATTTGAAATTTGAAAAAAAAATAATATTTCAAGAATAATTCTTTTTAATTTCTGAAATCTGAAATGAGAAAAAATTGACCCCCCACAATTTCTTTTTATCCCCCCCCCCTTTTTTCCCCCCAAAAATTCTTTCCCTCAAGATATGGTCAAAATCTCAATTCAAATTTCCAATGGAGTTGGCAACCATAATTACCCATTTAAATTTACCATAGTGCTAACTTAATCTATTTCATAATAGAATTAAAAATACAGTGTCAAATCTTTCATATGGATTTTTTTGTAAAAAAAAAGATGCAACATTTGCAGATATTTTTACTGGTCTTCCTTTATAAATATGCATTTCTTTAAACATAATTTAAAAGCAGTGTAAGGGAAGTAACCAAAACGTTGTATTTGGATTACCTCCCTTACACTGTTTTAAATTATCTTTATTGTTCATTATCCATTACTTTATACATAATTTAAAAGCAGTGTAAGGGAGATAATTTCAATGATGTATTTGATTTATCTCCCTTACACTGCTTTAAATTATGTTTTGTACTAAAGTATTTGTCCATTAACCAGGACAACCTTGTTTTTCCCCCTTTTTTGCCCTAATTCCTAAACGGTTTGAGCCATAACCCCCCAAAGCAAATCCTAACCATCCCTTTGTGGTATGGAAACTTGTAGTATAATTTCAGAGAGATCCATACACCGTTCCACAGTTATTGTCTGGAAACTAGAAAATGCTTATTTTTGGCCCCTTTTTGGCCCCTAATTCCTTAACTGTTGGTACCATAACCCCCAAAATCAATCCCAACCTTCCTTTTGTGGTATTTAACCTTATGGTCAAATTTCAAAAAGATCCATTCACTTAAACTAAAGTTAGAGTGCGAAAACCAATGTGTATTCGGACGACGACGCCGGACGACGACGACGACGACGACGACGCCGGACGACGACGACGACGCCAACGTCATACCAATATACGACCACAAAATTTTTTTGCGGTCGTATAAAAATATGTTTCATCGTGACTACATCTAGAAATTCATGGTAATATAAATACAAAGTAAAATTTCCTTCAAATAGTAATGGATCATTCAATATTAGAAAACAGGGAGGACGAAGATACCAAACGGACAATCATACATGATAAATCAAACATAGACACTGTCTATTAGACAGACAGCACCGTGTAGCCTGTACATTTATCGCTTGGAGGCAACAGGGGAATAATTATATTTTAAAATCTATTGTTACCAGTGATGGACATATAAAAGTAGGTGATAAGGCTACACCATGGTTAACAAGAGTGCACACGCTGAAATTTGTCACCTTCTTTACTAACCATTGATTTCATGTTGATAGTCCTAAATATAAAGCTTTACTACAAGTAACACATAAACTTAACATGATCCAAGAAAATGAGGTCAAGGTCAGATAAACTAAACGAGAAAAACATGTGCACCTTACAATCATTCAATAAACCAAACATAGTTGACCTATTGCTTATAGTTTCTAAGAAACAGTCTTAACCAAGAAAACTTAACATTGACCAAAGAACCATGAAAATGAAGTCAAGGTCAGATGAACCATGCCAGACAGACATTGTACACCTTACAATCAATTTATTCATTAAATATAGTTGACCTATTGCTTATAGTATCTAAGAAACAAACTTAACCATGAAAACTTAACACTGACCAATGAACCATGAAAATGAGGTCAAGGTCAAATGATACCTGCAAGACAGACATATACACCTTACACTCCTTCCATACAACAAATATAGTTGATCTATTGCTTATAGTTGAAGAAAAACAGACCAAAACACAATAAAATGCTCCACTGGGCGCAGCTTGATATGACCGCAGAGGTCGAACCCTGAACAGTTTGGGCAAGTATGGACACAACATTCAAGCTTGATACAGCACTGAATTTGGATTCTGATTAAATATTTGACACAGCATAGGTTTCTGACACAGAATGAATGTGGTCTTAGAACTTATAAATTTTTAATTTACCTATTCAAACCATATCATTATTATTTGCTTTTATATATAAATCAGAAATAACCAATTCAAAATGGAAAATTTTAAAGAAAAAAAAGGAAAAAAAGGAAAAAAAATCCCTCCCCCCAAATTTTTTGAACCCCCTAATGATTCATCACCTCCAAACTCAATCCCAGCCTTCCCTTTGTGGTATGGTACCTTGCAGTACAATTTAAGAGAGATCCATATACTTCAACACAAGTTATTGTCTGGAAACTAGAAAAATGCTTATTTTTGACCCCTTATTCCTAAACGTTTTAGTCAATTACCCCCAAACTCAATTCCAGCTTTCCCTTTGTGATATGGAACCTTGTAGTACAATTTCAGAAAGATCCATACACTTACACACAAGTTATTATCATGAAACTAGAAAAATGCTTGTTTTTTGCCCCTTTTTTGGCCCCTAATTCCTAAAATTTTGAGGAAATTACCCCCAAAATCAATCCCAGCATTCCCTTTGTGATATGGAACCTTGTGGTACAATGTCAGAGAGATCCATACACTAACACACAAGTTATGTGGTATTAAACCTTATGGTAAAATTACATAGAGATCCATTCACTTAAACTAAAGTTAGAGTGTGAAAATCAATGTGTCTTCGGACGACGACGACTACGACGACAACATCATACCAATAGACAACCACAAAATTATTTTGCGGTTGTATAAAACTTAACACTGAGAAATGAACCGTGAAAATGAGGTCAAGGTCAAATAAAACCTGTGAGACTGACATGTACATCATAAAATATTTCCATACACCAAATATAGTTGACCTATTGCATATAGTATTAGAAAAAAAGACCAAAACTCAAAAACTTAACTTTAACCACTGAACCATGAAAATGAGGTCAAGGTCAGATGACACCTACCAGTTGGACATGTACACCTTACAATCATTCCATATACCAAATATAGTAGACCTACTGCTTATAGTACCTGATAAATGGACTTGACCACGAAAACTTAACCTTGTTCACTGATCCATGAAATGAGGTTGAAGTCAAATAAAGATTGTCTGATGGGCATGAGGACCTTGCAAGATACGCACATACCAAATATAGTTATCCTATTACTCATTATAAGAAAGAAATTAACATTACAAAAAATGTTGACTTTTTTTTCAAGTCACTGAACCATGAAAATGAGGTCAAGGACAATGGACATATGACAGACGGAAACTTCGTAACATAAGGCATCTATATACAAAGTATGAAGCATCCAAGTCTTCTAGCTTCTAAAATATAAAGCTTTTAAGAAGTTAGCTAAAGCCGCCGCCGCCACCACCGGATCACTATCCCTATGTCGAGCTTTCTGCGACAAAAGTCGCAGGCTCGACAAAAACCAACATTTTACAAAACATCACATAGAAATTTAAAGACTTCATGATGCAACACAAATCCAACCTAATACCGGGGTGATATCAGTTGCATTGGAAGGTAAAGAAAATCCTGCTCCACTTGTGCCCTCCGTTGTGTTGCTCATGGTAAATGTAAACTCATTGATGGGTCAGAAATGGATGGGACTGTGGCTCTCACAATTTGAACGTATCCGTGGTCATCAGTAACACAGATATTGCAGAAAGAGCTGTTGGGGAAACATCAGCATATTGAAAAGGTGAATCTCAGCAAGAGCATATATCGATTTCAAGTTTGGTTACAGTATTATACTTAACACAATCATTTATGGCAAAATTCCGAATAATCAGGAATCAGGAAAAAGTAATCAAAATGGTCCCACTCTTTTACGCTGGAGAACCAAAACATAAAAACAAATTCACTGGCTCAATCAAATTCATCAGTTACTGTAAAACTCAATGAGTAACATCAAATCCTTACTGGATAAAACTAAAACTTTAAACATCATCAAAAGTTTCCAAAATCTAATGAAAAAGTGAAATAATGCTTATTTTCAAAACTAGTGGATGCTGTCTTGGGTTTCTTTTGATACTTTAGCAAGTATCATTGGAGACAACATCTCCAAAGTCAAGCTGTCCATTTGTCCAATATGTCCACCTTGCATAAGGATTGATAAGCTATAACTAGTCATGGTTTAAATGCATTTGGAACATAGTGTTTGTAACAGACAAACAAGAGGACACACACCCCTTGGCACAAATTAAATGAACGTAAAACTCTGAGGTTGTTTTGGATAATAAATATGTTATGTCAGTAACTTTTTTTTTATTTTAAAATTGATAATAATTACCCTCAAAACTTTATTTTTTACTTTCATCTAAATAAATGGGGAATGACACCCCATATAACGTTCTAAAGGGACATAACTCAAAAACAGTAAAAGTGATGCTACCCAACTTCGTACTTGATCTGAGTTTTGTGGTAATAAGCATTATGTATGAGTTTCATAATATTTGGTTGAGGCAATTTAAGTGAGAGAACGTAAACAAAAAATCCTCATCTTTTCCATTTGTAAAGGGGCATAACTCTAGAACAGTAAAAGTGACGCCACCAAAATTAAAACTTGATCTGTGTTTTTTTGTAATAAGCATCATGTATAAGATTGATAACAGTTGGTTGAGGCAAACTTAAGTTAGAGAATGGAAACGAAAAAAAAATTCAGCAATTTTTCTATTTGTAAAGGGGCATAACTCTCGAACGGTAAAAGTGACACCACCAAAATTCGAACCTAATTTCTCTTTTTGGTAATAAGCATTGTGTATAAGTTTCATAACATTTGGTTGAGGCAAACTAAAGTTAGAGAATGGAAACCCATTTTGGGATGTACGGACAGACATACAGAAGGACAAGGGTAAAACTTAATGCTCCTCCGCTACGGCCAGGCAAACAAACTGTATAAAACATGATAAAACTACGATATTTTTCTTTGAGTTAAGTCAAAGGGAGTACGCATTTAAAAAAAGACTTCCACATTTGTATTCGCTGCTTCTATTCTGAGCTCTAAGTTTTAAGGAGTACGATCAAAGATTTGTCAGCTCTGAGTCGAGATAATGTGTCAACGTGTTTTCCAGAATGATATCTGGTGAACTCGTAATCTAAAACTTCTAGTTCATTCTGCCTGTCTAGTACACAGAAGGATTAATATTCATATCATATTGACATGTTTGAGACTTGAAAAAAGTCGGAAGATTATAAAAATCCATCTATCCTTATACAATTTATAGGTCATCACTAAGCATTTGATTTAAATTCAATATCCATATTTAACCAAAATCAAAGATGTGGAATCCTTTGAAACTTTGTGAAGTAAATCCTTAGTCAGACAGGGAAATCAAGCTAAATTATAAAATGTCACTCAATTGTATAACAACAGGGCTTCTTGAAGTATAAACTGATCAATATTGAACTTCTGATAGCTCTTACCAACTATTCATAGTTGATTACATTCTTATTAGATTTCAGGTTAACATATTTCTATAAACTTGTCATTTATTGGTATTTCATTTCTTCAAAATTTGAATGTGAATAATTTTAAACTGTGTTATATATGTAAATATTGAATAAAATGCTCCGCTGGGCACAGCTTAATACGACAGCAGATGTCGAACCCTGAACAGTTGGGGCAAGTATGGACACAACATTCAAGCTTGATACAGCACTGAATTTGGATTGTGATTAAATATTTGACACAGCATAGGTTTCTGACACAGAATTAATGTGGTCTAAGAACTTAAAAAAATTTTAATTTACCTATTCAAACCATATCATTATTATTTGCTTTTATATATAAATCAGAAATAACCAATTCAAAATGGAAAATTTTAAAGAAAAAAAAACCCTCCCCAAATGTTTTGAACCCCCTTATGATTCATTACCCCCAAACTCAATCCCAGCCTTTCCTTTGTGGTATGGTACCTTGCAGTACAATTTCAGAGAGATCCATACACTTAAACACAAGTTATTGTCCTGAAACTAGAAAAATGCTTGTTTTTAGGCCCCTTTTTGGCCCCGAATTCCTAAATGTTTAAGGCAATTACCCCCAAACTCAAACCCAGCTTTCCCTTTGTGATATGGAACCTTGCAGTACAATTTCATAAAGATCCATACACTTACACACAAGTTATTATCCTGAAACTAGAAAAATGCTTTTTTTTTGCCCCTTTTTGGCCCCTAATTCCTAAAATTTTGAGGCAATTACCCCCAAAATCAATCCCAGCCTTCCCTCTGTGGTATGGTACCTTGCAGTACAATTTCAGAGAGATCCATATACTTGAACACAAGTTATTGTCTGGAAACTAGAAAAATGCTTATTTTTGGCCCCTTTTTGGCCCCTTATTCCTAAACGTTTTTGGCAATTACCCCCAAACTCAATTCCAGCTTTCCCTTTGTGATATGGAACCTTGTAGTACAATTTCAGAAAGATCCATACACTTACACACAAGTTATTATCATGAAACTAGAAAAATGCTTGTTTTTTGCCCCTTTTCTGGCCCCTAATTCCTAAAATTTTGAGGCAATTACCCCCAAAATCAATCCCAGCATTCCCTTTGTGATATGGAACCTTGTGGTACAATGTCAGAGAGATCCATACACTAACAGACAAGTAATGTCTGGAAGTTACAAAAATGCTTATTTTTGGCCCCTAATTCCTTAACTGTTGGTAGCATAACCCCCAAAATCAATCCCAACCTTCCTTTTGTGGTATTGAACCATATGGTAAAATTTCATAGAGATCCATTCACTTAAACTAAAGCTAGAGTGCGAAAACTAATGTGTCTTCGGACGACGACGACAACAACGCCGGACGACGACGCCAACGTCATACCAATATACGACCACAAAATTTTTGCGGTCGTATAAAAAGGGTACACCTTTAGCATGATTAGCTGGAGGTATTATACATTTTCTCTATAAAAGTATGGAAATTATTTTAAGATAAATCCAAATAAACTGCTTCGCTGAGCGCAGCTGGATACGCCCGCAGAGGTACAACCCTGAACAGTTGGGGCAAAAATGGACACAATATTCAAGCTTGATACAGGTCTGAATTTGGATTGTAATTATTAATAAATATTTGAAATTGGTTATATGAATTGAATTTATATTCAATTAAAGATTTCTTGCTGTTGTGCAATACACTGTGCTGTTGCACAATACTTAGTAAATCTGTTGTCAGACTAATAACAAATAAAATATTATAACTCGGAAACGAAAAATCGAAAATTTATAAAAATCAAAAGGGAGCTTACAAAAATAGATATAAACAATTTACCAAAGTTTCATAAAAAAAAATGCTTAAAGCATTTTTGAGTTATTGTCCGAAAACTGGAAAATCCCCCTTTTTGTAATGAATAAAACCCCATTAATCGGAAACGTACAGTCTGAAATTTATAAAAATCAAAAGGGAGCTCATGTCTATAGAAATAAACAATTCACCAAAGTTTCTTGCAAATTGGTGAAATTGTTTTTGAGTTATTGTCTGAAACTGGAAAATCCTCCCTTTTTTAATGAATAAAACCCCAAAACTTGGAAACGGTAAATCCAAAATTTATTAAAAACGAAAGGGAGCTCACATCAATAGATATGAACAATTCACAAAAGTTTCATGCAAGTTGGTAAAATTTTTTATGAGTTATAGTCCGAAAACTGGAAAATCCCCCCTTTTTTAATGAATAAAACCCCAAAACTCGGAAACGGTAAATCCGAAATTTATTCAAACAAAAGGGAGCTCACGTTAATTGATATGAACAATTCACAAAAGTTTCATGCAAATTGGTGAAATTTTTTTTGAGTTATTGTCTGAAAACTGGATAATTCCCCCTTTTTTAATGAATAAAACCCCAAAACTCGGAAATGGTAAATCTGAAATTTATAAAAAACGAAAGGGAGCTCACATCAATAGATATAAACAATTCACCAAAGTTTCATGCATATTGGTTAAAGTGTTTTTGAATGTCTGACATGTTGACAACGGACGGACAGACAGAGGGACAGATGGACAGACAGACGGTCAACGGTATACCATAATATGTCCCGTAAACGGGCGTATAAAAACGAAAGGGAGCTCACGTCAATAGAATATAAACAATTTACCAAAGTTTTATGCAAATTGGTTAAAGCGTTTTTGAGTTAATGGCAGACATGTTGACGACGGACGGACAGACGGACAAAGGTATACCATAATACGTCCCGTAAACGGGCGTATAAAAACTGGAAAATCCCCCTATTCTAATGAATAAAACCCCATAACTCTGAAATGTAAAATCTAAAATTTATAAAATTCTAAAGGGAGCTTACATCAATACTGAATAGATATAAACAATTCACCAAAGTTTCATAAAAAATGTTGAAAGCATTTTTGAGTTATTGTTCGAAAACCGAAAAATCCCCCCTTTTTGTAATGAATAAAACCCCATAAATCGGAAATGTATGGTCTAAAATTTATAAAAATCAAAAAGGACCTCATGTCGATAGAAATAAACAATTCACCAAAGTTTCTTGCAAATTGGTGAAATTGTATTTGAGTTATTTTCTACAAACTGGAAAATCCCCCTTTTTTAATGAATAAATCCCCAAAACCCTGAACCAACAACAAAGGTTTGGTAGGATTCAACCACCTTAAAGAAGGTATTTAGAATATGCAATTGTCAAAACATTGAATACAGAAACCACTCCAAAAGGTTCAACAAAAAAATACTATATTAGACTATCCTATATCTATTAAATTTGTGTGTCAATTATTTTCTTGAGACTTACATACATACCAAGTTTAAAGGAGTTGAAAGATAGTTTCATTAAAAGTAGGTCTCCTAATGCCGATTTTGAATTAAAAGAGCAATATCTACAAACTTAAAAGATTTATGTCAACCAAAACAGAAAAACCAAAAGGAAGAAGTGTTGTATATCTTCAGACACCAGTATAGTCATCTGACCTGTAATTTAATTGATTGTGTCCTATCCTGATTATGACATTTTGACTGAGTGTGAATTTGCATGGCAAGTGATGCATTCATGGCAAGAGATGCTTGCCATGTTGACACACCAGGTCTCGCTCCTTCTTGGAGTTCATACGATTCCCTCAGTTTTTGTTTGTTACAATGATTTGTCTCTTTTTAATCGATTTACCATATTTGAAATATTATTTATACAAGTTGAAAAAAATTATAAATCAATCATAAAAAGACTTTCTTATTTCAAGTGCTTTCTTCCTTCACAGGACTTCAAGGATGAAAGCATTAGAAAAACAAATTCAGCTTTAGTTATATGTTACTGGGAGTATAAAAGATAAAATCATAACAATATAATATAAAACTGAGTTTGTTGTCATATAAAAATAGGCTAATGACACACAAAACAGTATTGATCCAATCTGCATCATTTTCCTGTCATATATATAGTTTTCAACATATTTTCCAACAGCTGTCCTTTATAAACAGGCTAATATATATGCAAAGGAAGGATTACTCAGTAAATGATCTGTCTTGGGAAAAATCAATCAAGCTCAACCCTGAGAAGATGTTTTCCACAAATCAAAGTTAATTTAGTCAATATATTAACTTTATTGGTGTCATATGGTACAGTGCAGTACTAGATTTAGGTTATATCACATCTAATAACATTAACAATATCAATTTTCTGCACCAGATGTGCATATCCACAAGTAATATATTCTCTTCAGTGATGCTGGAGGCCAAATATGTTAAAGTCTAAAATCTAATACAAATGCTAGAGAGCTGATAAAACCAAAAAGAACAAAAAATAAAGCCAAACCCGTTCAGAGCTATGCCTAACAAACTAAACAATCTATATCTTACTAATCAGTTATTATGCATTATTATATTAACAACCCTAATGAAACCTTATGGTGTATATATTATATCAATTTATCCTCCTTCCACATAGATCATCTGTGGTTTTGAAAAATGTATGCAACAAGCATCCCATCTTTCAGAAAGGATGTACATGATTGTCTGATGTTAGAAGACTGATACAATTACAACATGAAAAGACCCCTAGGGCTTAATTTGTTAAGAGAGGGATCAATGAAAGCTGATACTTAGACTTAATTATCCTATTTATCTCTCTAGCTACTATTTGTGATGAAAATTAAAACCACTGATTTTTATTCTCTTTTCTGTAAAAACCCACATACCTTTATATCTTAAATCATCATAATCATGTTCATCACTTATATAACATGTGCAGCTTCAAACAGTAACAAACAATTAATCATTGGTTTAAAACAATTTTTTCATAGATCTATCTAATTTTAGTATTTTTGGAAGATTTCTCCAACATTACAAAATATTAACAAATAAAGAAGGCAAATGTGAAAACTTCTACAATTTGGTTGCAGAAAAAATTAATTTATCTTCTTCAACTAATAAGATGTAGTATGATTGCTAATCAGACATCTCTCCATCAGAGACCAAATGACATAGAAGTTTACAAATATATAGGTCCCCATACGGTCTTTAACCACATTTGAGAAAAATCAGCTAAATTGAAAATCTGAATTTAAATGAAAACCAAAAAAAATATTCCCAATTACAAAATGAGTGCATAATACATCTATCTGGAGAATTTATCCTGAATTACTCTTTGTTCTCAATAAAATAATTAATAGGTGTTTCAGAATTTTTTCTAAACATGAAAACTTCAAATGATATAAAAAAAAAAATTTGGTCAACAGACGTCTCATTTTCCCCCCTGGAGTATTATTGGGCCAGTAATTAACAACGTCATGGAAAGAAAATTTATAGGAAAGAAAATTATAAATTTTCTTTCATCATAATAGGAGAAATAAATTGCTTCGCCGAGCGCAGCTGGAAACAACCGCAGAGGTCCAACCGCAGAGGTCCAACCCTGAACAGTTAGGGCAAAAAAGGACACAATATTCGCACTTGATACAGGTCTGAATTTGGATTGTAATTAAATATTTGACACATAATAGGTTTCTGACACAGAATAACTGTATAACAGTAGTCAGAGAACTTAGAATTGGTTATATGATTTGAATTTATATTCAATTGTTTGCTTTTGTGCAATACACTATGCTGTTGCAAATTGACCTCCCCCCAAAAAAAAAATTCCCCCCTCCCCACCAACCCCTTTTTTTTCAAATAAAAAATATTAGAAATTTTCTTTTTGATTTCTGAAATCTTTAGGAGAAAAAATTGATCCCAATCCCAAACCCCCCCCCCCCCCTCGACACAATTGTTTTTACCCCCCCCCCCCCCCCCCCCCCCCCCCCGCCTTTCAATTTTTTTTTAACCTGCCCTCCCCCCCTTTTCCAAAAAAAAAAAATTCTTTCCCTCAAGATATGGTCATAATCTCAATTCAAATTTCCAATGGAGTTTGCAACCATAATTACCCATTTAAATATATGATAAAAGTCTTAAAATAGAAAATGACATACATAATCATGGCTGAAATTAATTTACCTTAATCAGCATTTTTAAAATTATTAAAATAGTAACTTCTAAAACTAAATTGACAGCTAATCACCTCTAGACAATACAACATTTCTTTATACATAATTTAAAAGCAGTGAAAGGGAGGTAATTCAAGCACAACATTGAATTACCTCCCTTACACTGTAATTTGTACTTAAGAAATTGTCCATTAACCAGGACACCCTTGTTTTTTTCTCACTTTTTTGCCCCTAATTCCTAAACGGTTTGAGCCAAAAAAAACCCAAAGCCAATCCTTACCATCCCTTTGAGGTATGGAAATTTGTGGTATAATTGTAGAGAGATCCATACACCGTTCCACAAGTTATTGTCTGGAAACTAGAAAAATGCTTATTTGGGCCCCTTTTTGGCCCCTAATTCCTAAACTGTTAGGACTATAACCCCCAAAGTCAATCCCAACCTTCCTTTTGTGATTATAAACCTTGTGTTTAAATTTCATAGATTTCTATTTACATTTACCAAAGTTATTGTCCGGAAACCAAATGTCTTCGGACGATGCTGACGACAACGATGACGACGTGATACCAATATATGACCACAATATTTTTTGTGGTCGTATAAAAATGAAATAACACTTTAAAAGTTGTATGCACCCCAAGCCCTTTTCTTGATTTATCTTCATCAGGAATGCTTAAAGACAAGGATAAGTACCCAAACATGTCAAGTGCTATACAACCAAATGGGAAAGTTAAATAAGACATTCACTTCTTCAAGTACCCCATGAAAAAAATTTGTTGTCTTTGTTGAGTTTGCATGGTAACCTTTTAGATAAGACAGTGAGACTACAAATATTTGCTAATCAATTTTTAGTCATGCAAGGATAACCAAACTTGTTCTTTTCAAATGACTTTCTGGGTCTAAAAAAATTTTTAAACTTGATTATCAATTGCAATCAAGATTATATTCATTGTTATTCAATTTCATTTAAGACAGTTGAATATTGTTAATTAACAGAAACTCATCAATAACTTAAAGTTTCAGTGCCTGCTAGAAAGGGGTGAATAAGTTTAAAGATGAATAATATGTAAATTAAGTAGACTTTTTGGAGATGTAAACATTCAGTTGATATGTTTCAATCAGTATTTCTACCATCCTTATTATTATAACAATTATAATGTACAACCAATATAGTTCAGTAGGTATAATGTTCAACCTTTTTAATAAATCAATTGGTCTAAGGATGCATTTAACATATGAATTCATAAAGAAATGACAATTCTTCCATGTTACACTTGATGACCATAAACTGGCTTTAAATGAAAAGATCCAAAAAGATAATCCAATTCATCTAATAATCATAAAGTCCAACAGAACCATCATCACTCAAGCAAAATATTGATAAAATTTGAAAAGCAGTTTCAAGAAGCTTAGGTATGATTAGATATTATAAGAAGAAAACCTGGTGCTTATTGAATATCCTTTGAGTGCAATTAGAGCTTATAGAAGGTCCTTGAGGAAGTTCAAATCTTAGCTTATTTAATTAAAATTGGCTGATTTGTTTAGACAGTAATGTTTTGATAAGATAGAATCTTTCACTGCCAACTCCTGACCCTGATATCAATTTTACAATAAACTTATAAAATCAAAAGGGTTCATTCTCTGCTCATACAGGCAGATATCCAGTTGTAATTAAACAAAAAGAAATGGAACTCTTTATTAAAGAAGGTAAAAGCAGCCAAATTGGATTGTTCACATTTATTTCTACAAACTTTAAAAGTTTAATGTAGATTTATAAATAAAGATTGTTTGCATCTTATATACTTATTTATACTAAAAATATAGTATGGCTTCCATTATCATGATTGAAAAACTGTACATGTAATGGGGAGACATTTCTGACCAAGTACATTTCTGCCTACATGTGGGTTGAGCAAACCGAAACTTATTAAAATTAAAGAACCTTAGTGAGCGCGCTCACATACCCCACGTCCCCACATTGTCACTGGAGAAATAAAATAACTGTAAGAAAAAAAAATTGTATAAGAAAAAAAAATTGAATCATAATTTCCTGTCGATATGCACATCTACATAGTATGTCCTTATTATCTACAAAGTTTCATGAAATTCTGTTGTGTGGGTTCAGAGGAGTTGCGATGACAAACTGTTGCAGAGGTATATTGAAGCAAATAAGTTCAAAGGGGCGTAACTCCTAGAAAAAAAATTGAATCATAATTTCCTGTCGATATGCACATCTACGTAGTATGTCCTTATTATCTGAAAAGGTATGATGAAATTCTATTGTGTGGTTTGAGAGGAGTTGCGATGACAAAAGGTTGCAGTAGTATATTGGGCAAATAAGTTCAAAGGGGCGTAACTCCTGGAAAAAAAATTGAATCGTAATTTCCTGTCGATATGCACATCTACGTAGTATGGCCTTATTATCTACAAAGTTTCATGAAATTCTGCTGTGTGGTTTCAGAGGAGTTGAGATGACAAACTGTTGCAGTAGTACATTAAAGTAAATAAGTTCAAAGGGGCGTAACTCCTAGAAAAATAAAATGCTTCGCTGGGGCGCAGCTTGATACGACCGCAGAGGTCGAACCCTGAACAGTTGGGGCAAGTATGGACACAACATTCAAGCTTGATACAGCTCTGAATTTGGATTGTTATTAAATATTTGACACAGCATAGGTTTCTGACACAGAAAGAATGTGGTCTTAGAACTTGAATTTTTTTAATTTACCTATTATGGTCCAATGTCCAAAATCAAAATACATGGTTAGATTCAGCATATCAAAGAACCCCATATATTCAATTTTTGTTAAAATCAAACAAAGTTTAATTTTGGACCCCAACTTGGACAAACTTGAAAATTGGGCCCATAATCAAAAATCTAAGCACATGTTTAGATTCAGCATATCAAATAACCCCAAGAATTCAATTTTTGCTAAAATCAAACTAAGTTTAATTTTGGACCCTTTGGACCTTAATGTAGACCAATTTAAAAAACGGGACTTAAAATTAAAAATCTAAATACACGGTTAGATTTGGAACATCAAAGAACCCCAATAATTCAATTTTTGATGAAATCAAACAAAGTTTAATTTTGGACCCTTTTGACCTCAATATGAACCAATTTGATAGCGGGGCCCACAAATAAAAAATCTAAATTCATGGTTAGATTCAGCATATCAAAGAACCCCATATATTCAATTTTTGTTGAAATAAAAAAAAGTTTAATTTTGGACCCCAACTTGGACCAACTTGAAAACTGGGCCCATAATCAAAAATCTAAACACATGTTTAGATTCAGCATATCAAAGAACCCCAAGAATTCAATTTTTGTTAAAATCAAACTAAGTTTAATTTTGGACCCTTTGGACCTCAATGAAGACCAATTTAAAAAACGGGACCCAAATTAAAAATCTAAAAACACGGTTAGATTTGCCATATCAAAGAACCCCAATACTTCAATTTTTGATGAAATCAAACAAAGTTTAATTTTGGACCCTTTTGACCTCAATATGAACCAATTTGATAGCGGGGCCTACAAATAAAAAATCTAAATACATGGTTAGATTCAGCATATCAAAGAACCTCACATATTCAATTTTTGTTGAAGTCAAACAAAGTTTAATTTTGGACCCCAATTTGGACCAACTTGAAAACTGGGCCCATAATCAAAAATCTAAATACATGTTTAGATTCAGCATATCAAAGAACCCCATATATTCAATTTTTGTTGAAATCAAACAAAGTTTAAATACTGGACCCTATCTTGGACCAACTTGAAAACTGGGCCCATAATCAAAAATCTAAACACATGTTTAGATTCAGCATATCAAAGAACCCCAAGAATTCAATTTTTGTTAAAATCAAACTAAGTTTAATTTTGGACCCTTTGGACCTTAATGTAGACCAATTTAAAAAACAGGACCCAAAATTAAAAAACTTATAATAAAATGCTTCGCTGGGGCGCAGCTTGATACGACCCCAGAGGTCGAACCCTGAACAGTTGGGGCAAGTATGGACACAACATTCAAGCTTGATACAGCTCTGAATTTGGATTGTTATTAAATATTTGACACAGCATAGGTTTCTGACACAGAAAGAATGTGGTCTAAGAACTTGAATTTTTTTAATTTACCTATTATGGTCCAATGTCCAAAATCAAAATACATGGTTAGATTCAGCATATCAAAGAACCCCATATATTCAATTTTTGTTAAAATCAAACAAAGTTTAATTTTGGACCCCAACTTGGACAAACTTGAAAACTGGGCCCATAATCAAAAATCTAAACACATGTTTAGATTCAGCATATCAAAGAACCCCAAGAATTCAATTTTTGCTAAAATCAAACTAAGTTTAATTTTGGACCCTTTGGACCTTAATGTAGACCAATTTAAAAAACGGGACTTAAAATTAATCAAAGCACTGTAAGCGCTGTAGGCAGTTAACCAAAAACCAAGGCAAACGTAATTATGAAAACTGTGGCAGTGTTGCTTCAATTTTTTTTTCAAGATTTGAAAGAACAAACATTAAACATTCGTATATTGTACATTTATGTTCATTTAATGAATTGATTATTAAGGCAAATTAATTAATATTTCATCAAGGTTTTCAAAAGCAACTCATATATCAATGTAAATGACCCCCATCTTCACCCCCATATGTATGATGTTACTTCATACCAAGTTTGGAATAAAATGACAGGTGATTATAAAACAGTTGGTCAAACATTCTCGGGCTTTACACTGCTTGAAAGATTTATATGTTTTCTTTAAAATGAGTCATAAATGAAAATTATTATAGGCCCAGAAATAATTTATTAATAGTTAAAGTAAATTCAATTAACCTAGACTCATTTTTTGCATCAATAAAATTTTATAATAAACAAGAAATAATTGTAACAGGATGCCGTTACGAAGTCTCCCAAACAAAGCCCCCATAATTCATCATTCCCATGGTCTCCTGACATTGGGCAAAGTCCAGTTCATATTGGTTTGGTCTAGTAAAGTGATATGCATATGTGACACCTAGGAGATTGACGCTGTATGTCATTCAAATCTTTTTGAAATGATGAACAGGAATAAATATGGTTTAGGTGTGGGTATCTCGACCGTTTACAAGTTCTCAAACAGGAGGGGTGGGGTGACCCCAGGGACTCCCCCTATATTTCATTTGATTTTTTATATTGTCCCATACATGAATACATATGGTTTAGGGGTGGGGATCTCGACCATTTCCAAGTTTTCAAACAGGAGGGGGTGGGATGACCCCAGGGACTCCCTAAATATTTCATTTGATTTGTTATATTGTCCCATACATGAATATATATGGTTTAGGGGTGGGGATCTTGACTGTTTACAAGTTCTCAAACAAGAGGGGGTGGGGTGTCCCCATGGACTCCCCCTATATTTCATTTGATTTGTTTTATTGTCCAATACATGACAAGAAATAATTGTTACAGGATGCTGTTACGAAGTCTCCCAAACAAAGCTCCAATAATTCGTCATTCCCATGGTCACCTGACATTGGGCAAAGTCCAGTACAAATTGGTTTGTGATATGCATAAGTGTATGTCATTCAAATCTTCTTGAAATGACGAACATGAATATGTATGGTTTAGGGGTGGTGATCGCGACCGTTTACAAGATAAAAGCACATTCTCAAATTGAAGGGGGGTGGGGTAAGAATATAAGGGGGGGTGTGTGATCCCCAGGGGACTCGCCCTTTATTTCATATGATTTTTTTTTGTCTCATACAAGAATATATATGGTTTAGGGGTGGGGATCTCGACCGTTTACAAGTTCTTAAACAGGCGGGGGTGGGGGTGACCCCAGGGGACTCACCTTTTATTTCATTTGATTTGTTTTATTGTCCCATACAAGAATATATATGGTTTAGGGGTGGGGATCATGACCGTTTACAAGTTTTCAAAAAGAAAGGGGGAGGGGGGTTACTCCAGGGGATTTCCCCTAAATTTCATTTGATTTGTTTTATTGTCCCATACAAGAATATATATGGTTTAGGGGTGGGGATCTCGACCATTTACAAGTTTTCAAAAAAAAAGGGGTGGGGGTGACCCCCGTGGACTTCCCCTATATTTCATTTGATTTGTTTTATTGTCCCATACAAGAATATATATGGTTTAGGTGTGGGGATCTCAACCGTTTACAAGTTCTCAAACAGGAGGGGGTGGGGGTGACCCCAGGGGGCTCGCCTTTTATTTCATTTGATTTGTTTTATTGTCCCATACAAGAAAATAAATGGTTTCGGGGTGGGTATCTTGACCGTTTACAAGTTGTCAAAAAGAAGGGGGTGCGGGTGACCCCCCTGGACTCCCCTATATTTCATTTGATTTGTTTTATTGTCCCATACAAGAATATATATGGTTTAGGGGTGGGGATCTCGACCGTTTACAAGTTCTTAAACAGGAGGGGGTGGGGGTGACCCCAGGGGACTCACCTTTTATTTCATTTGATTTGTTTTATTGTCCCATACAAGAATATATATGGTTAAGAGGTGGGGATCTTGACCGTTTACAAGTTTTCAAAAAGAAAGGGGGAGGGGGGTTACTCCAGGGGATTTCCCCTAAATTTCATTTGATTTGTTTTATTGTCCCATACAAGAATATATATGGTTTAGGGGTGGGGATCTCGACCATTTACAAGTTTTTTAAAAAAAAGGGGTGGGGGTGACCCCCGTGGACTTCCCCTATATTTCATTTGATTTGTTTTATTGTCCCATACAAGAATATATATGGTTTAGGTGTGGGGATCTCAACCGTTTACAAGTTCTCAAACAGGAGGGGGTGGGGGTAACCCCAGGGGGCTCGCCTTTTATTTCATTTGATTTGTTTTATTGTCCCATACAAGAAAATATATGGTTTCGGGGTGGGTATCTTGACCGTTTACAAGTTGTCAAAAAGAAGGGGGGTGCGGGTGACCCCCCTGGACTCCCCTATATTTCATTTGATTTGTTTTATTGTCCCATACAAGAATATATATGGTTTAGGGGTGGGGATCTCGACCGTTTACAAGTTTTCAAGAAAAAGAAAAAGAAGAAGAATAATAAAAATAATAAGAACTGAGCAAAAACAATAAGTCTCCAAACTTTGTTTGTGAGACTTAAATATATATGGTTTAGGGGTGGGGATCTCGACCATTTCCAAGTTCTCAAACAGGAGGGGGTCGGGTGACCCGAGGAACTCCCCATATATTTCATTTGATTTGTTATATTGTCCCATACATGAATATATATGGTTTAGGGGTGGGGATATTGACTGTTTACAAGTTCTTAAACAGGAGGGGGTGGGTGTCCCCAGGGACTCCCCCTATATTTTATTTGATTTGTTTTATTGTCCCATACATGAATGTATATGGTTTAGGGGTGGGGATCTCAACCATTTCCAAGTTCTCAAACAGGAGGGGTTGGGGTGACCCCAGGGACTCCCCCTATATTTCATTTGATTTGTTTTATTGTCCCATACATGAATATATATGGTTTAGGGGTGGGGATCTGGACCATTTCCAAGTTCTCCAATAGGAGGGGTAAGGACGACACCCGGGACTCCTCCAAATTATTTTCATTTGATTTATTTTATTGTCCCATACAAGTATATATATTGTTTAGGGGTGGGGATGTCGACGGTTTACAAGATAAAAGTACATTTTCAAATTGAAGGGGGTTGGGATGACCCCCAGGGACTCACCCTATATTTTGGTTGATTTTTTTTTATTGTCCTGTTCTCATTACTGAAGACTGCATGTGTCTATCACTTACTGTTTTTGAGAAATATTCATTTGAAAATTTAAAATTAAAAAAAATAAAATCCCATAGGGTTCTATAGTAAATCCCTCCCTTCTTCAGGCCCCTCCAAATACCCCTAAATATACCCCAATGCACAAACAAAAGATTAATGGCTCCGCTAGACATGTTAGTCTAATATTTTATGAAACCCTAAGTAAATCTGACAAACGGTCAAAGTTGTCTTCTTAGACGGTTTGAGTGGATTCGGTCCGACTTGTCTCGGGGACGAGTTGTCCACATTACTTAAAACATCCCATCAACGTCGATTTCCGCATCCGTTTCATTCATACAATATCAACAACCTTATTTGGCAAGATAAGTTAAAAATTACCGCCCACTTATATTACTTTATTTCCTCTATTATAGAGATTTGTTGTACATGAACAATATTCCTGCGCATTTTGCCATTTGGGAAATATAAACGACTTGTAATTACCGATTTTCGGCGATGAAATATTTCATACAATTGTTCTTTGACATCGTAGCCAAAAGCACAGGGGATAATAAACTACATACGGATTTTTATTGAGCACTACTTCCTATGTGCAACTTCAAAAGTTTTGGGTAGTTCGACGATCATTTAAGGTTTTTCTGGTCATATTTTTTGTATTCCAGAAATAAAAGTATTAAAAAAATGTCCAATTAGTTATAAATAACATAATAGCCAGCTAGATAATAACAATGGCACGTATTTCAGCATTTATTGGGTAGAACACAAATCTAGGGTGCTCGCATAAGGCAGCTTAACTGCCTAAAAATCTAAATACACGGTTAGATTTCGAATATCAAAGAACCCCAATAATTCAATTTTTGATGAAATCAAACAAAGTTTAATTTTGGACCCTTTTGACCTCAATATGAACCAATTTGATAGCGCGGCCCACAAATAAAAAATCTAAATTCATGGTTAGATTCAGCATATCAAAGAACCCCATATATTCAATTTTTGTTGAAATCAAAAAAAGTATAATTTTGGACCCCAACTTGGACCAACTTGAAAACTGGGCCCATAATCAAAAATCTAAACACATGTTTAGATTCAGCATATCAAAGAACCCCAAGAATTCAATTTTTGTTAAAATCAAACTAAGTTTAATTTTGGACCCTTTGGACCTCAATGAAGACCAATTTAAAAAACGGGACCCAAATTAAAAATCTAAAAACACGGTTAGATTTGGCATATCAAAGAACCCCAATAATTCAATTTTCGATGAAATCAAACAAAGTTTAATTTTGGACCCTTTTGACCTCAATATGAACCAATTAGATAACGGGGTCCACAAATAAAAAATCTAAATTCATGGTTAGATTCAGCATATCAAAGAACCCCATATATTCAATTTTTGTTGAAATAAAAAAAAGTTTAATTTTGGACCCCAACTTGGACCAACTTGAAAACTGGGCCCATAATCAAAAATCTAAACACATGTTTAGATTCAGCATATCAAAGAACCTCATATATTCAATTTTTGCTAAAATCAAACAAAGTTTAATTTTGGACCCTTTGGACATTAATGTAGACCAATTTGAAAACTGGACCCAAAATTAAAAATCTAAATACACTGTTAGATTCGGCATAACAAATAAATAAATGTGATCAAAGATTTTACAAATCTAATGCGCCATACTGTGCAATTAAAGATTACTTCTTGAAATTTTTCAATATTTGAAATTTGAAAAAAAAATAATATTTGAAGAATAATTCTTTTTAATTTCTGAAATCTTAAATGAGAAAAAATTGGCCCCCCACAATTTCTTTTTATCCCTCCCCCCCCCCTTTTTCCCCCCAAAAAATTCTTTCCCTCAAGATATGGTCATAATCTCAATTCAAATTTCCAATGGAGTTGGCAACCATAATTACCCATTTAAATTTACCATAGTGCTAACTTAATCTATTTTATAATAGAATTGATAAAAATATAGTGTCAAATCTTTCATATGGATTTTTTTGTAAAAAAAAAAGATGAAAACATTTGCAGATATTTTTACTGGTCTTCCTTTATAAATATGCATTTCTTAAACATAATTTAAAAGCAGTGTAAGGGAAGTAACCAAAACGTTGTATTTGGATTACCTCCCTTACACTGTTTTAGATTATCTTTATGGTTCATTAACCATTACTTTATACATAATTTAAAAGCAGTGTAAGGGAGATAATTTCAATGATGTATTTGATTTATCTCCCTTACACTGCTTTAAATTATGTTTTGTACTAAAGTATTTGTCCATTAACCAGGACAACCTTGTTTTTCCCCCTTTTTTGCCCCTAATTCCTAAACGGTTTGAGCCATAACCCCCCAAAGCAAATCCTAACCATCCCTTTGTGGTATGGAAACTTGTAGTATAATTTCAGAGAGATCCATACACCGTTCCACAGTTATTGTCTGGAAACTAGAAAATGCTCATTTTTGGCCCCTTTTTGGCCCCTAATTCCTTAACTGTTGGTACCATAACCCCCAAAATCAATCCCAACCTTCCTTTTGTGGTATTTAACCTTATGGTCAAATTTCAAAAAGATCCAATCACTTAAACTAAAGTTAGAGTGCGAAAACCAATATGTATTCGGACAACGCCGGACGACGACGACGACGACGCCAACGTCATACCAATATACGACCACAAAATTTTTTTGCGGTCGTATAACAAACACGGTTAGATTTGGAATATCAAAGAACCCCAATAATTCAATTTTAGATGAAATCAAACAAAGTTTAATTTTGGACCCTTATGACCTCAATATGAACCAATTTGATAACGGGGTCCACAAATAAAAAATCTAAATACATGGTTAGATTCAGCATATCAAGGAACCCCATATATTCAATTTTTGTTGAAATCAAACAAAGTTTAATTTTGGACCCCAATTTGGACCAACTTGAAAACTGGGCCAAAAATCAAAAATCTAGATACATGTTTAGATTCAGCATATCAAAGAACCTCATATATTCAATTTTTGCTAAAATCAAACAAAGTTTAATTTTGGACCCTTTGGACATTAATGTAGATCAATTTGAAAACTGGACCCAAAATTAAAAATCTAAATACACTGTTGGATTCGGCATAACAAATAAATAAATGTGATCAAAGATTTTACAAATCTAATGCGCGATACTGTGCAATTAAAGATTTCTTCTTGAAATTTTTCAATAATTGAAATTTGAAAAAAAAATAATATTTGAAGAATAATTTTTTTAATTTCTGAAATCTGAAATGAGAAAAATTGACCCCCCACAATTTCTTTTTATCCCTCCCCCCTTTTTTCCCCCAAAAAATTCTTTCCCTCAAGATATGGTCATAATCTCAATTCAAATTTCCAATGGAGTTGGCAACCATAATTACCCATTTAAATTTACCATAGTTCTAACTTAATCTATTTTATAATAGAATTAAAAATATAGTGTCAAATCTTTCATATGGATTTTTTTGTAAAAAAAAAAGATGCAACATTTGCAGATATTTTTACTGGTCTTCCTTTATAAATATGCATTTCTTTAAACATAATTTAAAAGCAGTGTAAGGGAACGTTGTATTTGGATTACCTCCCTTACACTGTTTTAAATTATCTTTATTGTTCATTAACCATTACTTTATACATAATTTAAAAGCAGTGTAAGGGAGATAATTTCAATGATGTATTTGATTTATCTCCCTTACACTGCTTTAAATTATGTTTTGTACTAAAGTATTTGTCCATTAACCAGGACAACCTTGTTTTTCCCCCTTTTTTGCCCCTAATTCCTAAACGGTTTGAGCCATAACCCCCAAAGCAAATCCTAACCATCCCTTTGTGGTATGGAAATTTGTAGTATAATTCCAGAGAGATCCATACACCGTTCCACAGTTATTGTCTGGAAACTAGAAAATGCTTATTTTTGGCCCCTTTTTGGCCCCTAATTCCTTAACTGTTGGTACCATAACCCCCAAAATCAATCCCAACCTTCCTTTTGTGGTATTTAACCTTATGGTCAAATTTCAAAAAGATCCATTAACTTAAACTAAAGTTAGAGTGCGAAAACCAATGTGTCTTCGGACGACGACGCCGGACGACGACGACGACGCCGGACGACGACGCCAGTCGACGACAACGCCAATGTCATACCAATATACAACCACAAAATTTTTTTGCGGTCGTATAAAAATTGAATCATAATTTCCTGTCGATATGCACATCTACCTAGTATGTCCTTATTATCAACAAAGTTTCATGAAATTCTGTTGTGTGGTTTCAGAGGAGTTGCGATGACAAACTGTTGCAGAGGTATATTGAAGCAAATAAGTTCAAAGGGGCGTAACTCCTAGAAAAAAAATTGAATCGTAATTTCCTGTCGATATGCACATCTACGCAACTCGTTGCGTGGGGTATAATAAATAAGCTATTAAGTCTGTAAAAATGTTCTCAAAAACACTTTTGACCTCAGTATGACCTTTGGCATCTCACTTTAAAAAAAAGACAAGTTTCATCACTCTGTATGATTTAATATACTGTTTCATAAAGATTTACTGTGTCATATTGTCTGTATAGCATTGATAAAGTTTTGAATTCAACTTTGATCTAATCTGAGCATTGCAGAAAAAAAAAGAGGCGAAGGATATCAAAAGGACAACCAGTCGAAAATAACCTGACAACGCCATGGCTAAAACGAAAAAGACAAACAACAGTACACAAAACACAACATAGATAAAATGCTGGGGCGCAGCTTAATACGACCGCAGAGGTCGAACCCTGAACAGTTGGGGCAAGTATGGACACAACATTCAAGCTTGATACAGCACTGAATTTGGATTGTAATTAAATATTTGACACAGCATAAGTTTCTGACAGAGAATGAATGTGGTCTAAGAACTTAAAAATTTTTAATTTACCTATTCAAACCATATCATTATTATTTGCTTTTATATATAAATCAGAAATAACCAATTTAAAATGGAAAATTTTAAAGAAAAAAAAATCCCCCTCCCCATTTTTTTTTGAACCCCCTTATGATTCATCACCCCCAAACTTAATCCCAGCCTTCCCTTTGTGGAATGGTACCTTGCAGTACAATTTCAGAGAGATCCATACACTTGAACACAAGTTATTGTCTGGAAACTAGAAAAATGCTTGTTTTTTGGCCCCTTTTTGGCCCCAAATTCCTAAACGTTTAGGGCAATTACCCCCAAACTCAAACCCAGCTTTCCCTTTGTGATATGGAACCTTGCAGTACAATTACATAAAGATCCATACACTTACACACAAGTTATTGTCCTGAAACTAGAAAAATGCTTGTTTTTTGCCCCTTTATGGCCCCTAATTCCTAAAATTTTGAGGGAATTACCCCCAAAATCAATCCCAGCCTTCTCTTTGTGGTATGGTACCTTGCAGTACAATTTCAGAGAGATCCATACACTTGAACACAAGTTATTGTCTGGAAACTAGAATAAAATGCTTCGCTGGGCGCAGCTTGATACGACCGCAGAGGTCCAACCCTGAACAGTTGGGGCAAGTATGGACACAACATTCAAGCTTGATACAGCTCTGAATTTGGATTGTGATTAAATATTTGACACAGCATAGGTTTCTGACACAGAAAGAATGTGGTCTAAGAACTTCAATTTTTTTAATTTACCTATTATGGTCCAATGTCCAAAATCAAAATACATGGTTAGATTCAGCATATCAAAGAACCCCATATATTCAATTTTTGTTGAAATCAAACAAAGTTTAATTTTGGACCCCAACTTGGACAAACTTGAAAACTGGTCCCATAATCAAAAATCTAAACACATGTTTAGATTCAGCATATCAAAGTACCCGAAGAATTCAATTTTTGTTAAAATCAAACTTAGTTTAATTTTGGACCCTTTGGACCTTAATGTAGACAAATTTAAAAAACGGGACCCTAAATTAAAAATCTAAAAACACAGTTAGATTTGGCATATCAAAGAACCCCAATAATTCAATTTTTGATGAAATCAAACAAAGTTTTATTTTGGACCCTTTTGACCTCAATATGAACCAATCTGATAGCGGGCCCACAAATAAAAAATCTAAATACATGGTAAGATTCAGCATATCAAAGAACCCCATATATTCAATTTTTGTTGAAATCAAACAAAGTTTAATTTTGGACCCCAATTTGGACCATCTTGAAAACTGGGCCAAAAATCTAAAATCTAAATACATGTTTAGATTCAGCATATCAAAGAACCCCATATATTCAATTTTTGTTGAAATCAAACAAAGTTTAATTTTGGACCCCAACTTGGACCAACTTGAAAACTGGTCCCATAATCAAAAATCTAAACACATGTTTAGATTCAGCATATCAAAGAACCCCAAAAATTCAATTTTTGTTAAAATCAAACTAAGTTTAATTTTGGACCCTTTGGACCTTAATGTAGAGCAATTTAAAAAACAGGACCCAAAATTAAAAATCTAAATACACGGTTAGATTTGGCATATCAAAGAACCCCAATAATTCAATTTTTGATGATATCAAACAAAGTTTAATTTTGGACCCTTTTGACCTCAATATGAACCAATTTGATAGCGGGCCCACAAATAAAAAATCTAAATACATGATAAGATTCAGCATATCAAAGAACCCCATATATTCAATTTTTGTTGAAATCAAACAAAGTTTAATTTTGGACCCCAATTTGGACCAACTTGAAAACTGGGCCAAAAATCTAAAATCTAAATACATGTTTAGATTCAGCATATCAAAGAACCCCATATATTCAATTTTTGGTGAAATCAAACAAAGTTTAATTTTGGACCCCAACTTGGACCTACTTGAAAACTGGGCCCATAATCAAAAATCTAAACACATGTTTAGATTCAGCATATCAAAGAACCCTAAGAATTCAATTTTTGTTAAAATCAAACTAAGTTTAATTTTGGACCCTTTGGACCTTAATGTAGACAAATTTAAAAAAACAGGACCCAAAATTAAAAATCTAAATACACGGTTAGATTCGGCATATCAAAGAACCCCAATAATTCAATTTTTGATGAAATCAAACAAAGTTTAATTTTGGACCCTTTGGACCTCAATGTGGACCAATTTAAAAACGGGGCCAAAAATCCAAAAACTTACATGGTAAGATTCAGCATATTAAAGAACCCCAAGAATTCAAGAATAAAACCCCATTGAAATTGATCAAGAAATAAGCAATTTATACGAAGTATCTTCTTTTGCACAATACTGTGCAATTGAATATTTCTTGCTATTGCGCAATACTGTACAATTGACAATTTCTTGCTATTGCGCAATATTGTGCTATTGGATATTTCTTGCTATTGCGCAATACTGTTAAATTGAAGATTTCTTGCTATTGCGCAATACTGTGCAATTGAAGATTTCTTGCTATTGTGCAATACTGTGCAATTGAAAATTTCTTGCTATTGCACAATACTTATCATATAATAATTTACACATCCTGTTTGGTGTGTATCTCCTACCATATCATTATTATTTGCTTTTAAATATAAATCAGAAATAACCAACTTAAAATGGAAAATTTTAAAAGAAAAAAAAAAGGAAAAAAAGAAAAAAAAAAAAAAAAAAATCCCCCCCCCAAATTTTTTGAACCCCCTTATGATTCATCACCCCCAAACTCAATCCCAGCCTTCCCTTTGTGGTATGGTACCTTGCAGTACAATTTCAGAGAGATCCATACACTTGAACACAAGTTATTGTCTGGAAACTAGAAAAATGCTTATTTTTGGCCCCTTTTTGGCCCCCAATTCCTAAACGTTTCGGGCAATTACCCCCAAACTCAATTCCAGCTTTCCCTTTGTGATATGGAACCTTGTAGTACAATTTCAGAAATATCCAAACACTTACACACAAGTTATTGTCATGAAACTAAAAAATGCTTGTTTTTTGCCCCTTTTTTGGCCCCTTATTCCTAAAATTTTGAGGCAATTACCCCCAAAATCAATTACAGCCTTCCCTTTGTGATATGGAACCTTGTGGTACAATGTCAGAGAGATCCATACACTTACACACAAGTTATTGTCTGAAAGTTACAAAAATGCTTATTTTTGGCCCCTTTTTGGCCCCTAATTCCTTAACTGTTGGTACCATAACCCCCAAAATCAATCCCAACCTTTCTTTTGTGGTATTGAACCTTATGGTGAAATTTCATGGAGATCCATTCACTTAAACTAAAGTTAGAGTGCGAAAACCAATGTGTCTTCGGACGACGCTGGACGACGCCGGACGACGACGACGACGCCGGACGACGACGACGACGACGACGACGACGACGACGACGCCACTGTCATACCAATATACGACCAAAAAATTTTTAATTTTTGCGGTCGTATAAAAATGCTTATTTTTGGCCCCTTTTTGGCCCCTTATTCCTAAATGTTTTAGGCAATTACCCCCAAACTCATTTCCAGCTTTCCCTTTGTGATATGGAACCTTGTAGTACAATTTCAGAAAGATCCATACACTTACACACAAGTTATTGTCATGAAACTAGAAAAATGCTTGTTTTTTTCCCCTTTTTGGCCCCTAATTCCTAAAATTTGGAGGCAATTGCCTCCAAAATCAATCCTAGCATTCCCTTTGTGATATGGAACCTTGTGGTACAATGTCAGAGAGATCCATACACTTACACACAAGTTATTGTCATGAAACTAGAAAAATGCTTGTTTTTTGCCCCTTTTTTGGCCCTAATTCCTAAAATTTGGAGGCAATTACCCCAAAAATCATCCCAGCATTCCCTTTGTGATATGGAACCTTGTGGTACAATGTCAGAGAGATCCATACACTAACACACAAGTTATGTCTGGAAGTTACAAAAATGCTTATTTTTGGCCCCTAATTCCTTAATTGTTGGTACCATAACCCTCAAAATCAATCCCCACCTTCCTTTGTGGTATTGAACCTTATGGTAAAATTTCATAGAGATCCATTCACTTAAACTAAAGTTAGAGTGCGAAAACCAATGTGTATTCGGACGACGACTACGACGACGACGATGACACCAATGTCATACCAATATACAACCGCAAAATTTGTTTGTGGTCGTATAAAAACCAAAGACTGAGCAACACGAAACCCACCAAAAACTGGGGAGATCTCAGGTGCTCCAGAAGGGTAAGCAGATCCTGCTCCACATATGGCACCAGTCGTGTGAGCTGTGATAACAGACATTTCTTTTTCATGCAAAGGGTATTTCAAATTTCACTATGGAGTTCAATTTTGAATTTATTTTTTGTTTGCATATATCCATCCCCTCCTCTCTTTGCCCTGTGCTTTGATTATTATTACAACATTTAAGATGTGATAGTTTTTAAAATGTCACAACTTTAACTTATTATACATGTTATAAGCAGATATTTTTGCTTTCTGTATTTTGATAATTTTCATTTCAATTCGTTAAACAACAACCATGTTCATAGCTAGTGTATATATATTGAAGACAGGCTAAATATAAAAACTGTAAAAATACCATTATAAAACAGTCCAGTATCTGAACATTTTCATATTGGTATTTCATTCAAAGGGAGATAAATCTAATCAATAACAAGTTCCTCAATATTTACTTCAGCATTACTCTGAAAGAAGCCAGTGCTAATTACCTTCTACTCATAACAATAACTTTCTTCAAAATTTCATGTAGGAAATAGTCCCTTTTGATAATATATTCTGACTAACACCTTGGGGATATGTACATGATGTATGTGACAAAAATTCTGACTTTCATTCAAGATATGTACATGTATGTATATAAATTCTGACTTTTAGACTGTAAATAAATCCAAACTTTCAGATGAGATATGTTCATGTATGTGAATCATTCTGACTTTCATACTGAAGATAAGTTTGTGAATAGATTCTTACTTACAGACTATAAATAAATTCTGACTTTCAGACAAGATAGATGTATGTACATGTATGTGAATGAATTCTGACTTTCAGACTGAAGATATGTATGTGAATAAATTCTGACTTACCGAGTTAAGATATTTAAGTTCAGATCTACACTTTTTCTCTAATTTCTTTGCATCTTTTACATCAAGTTGCTGGCACTGTGTGATTAAGCCTTCTGCATTCTCAATATAAATATTCAGCAGTTCTTCTATGTCAGTGGAAGGTGGATGGATAATACTTGTAGCCATCTGTGAATATACACACCAGAAATATAATTAAAATAGGCAAGGTAAATTACTAATCTATGCAAATCATCTTTTGACACTTTTTGATCTCATTCCATTGAACAAAGCTGTGAGTTACTATAGACGTTTTAGGAATTTAATTATTTGTTGTGTTTTAATTATATAAACCAAAGTCTGACAAAGAAGGCTGATAGTGAGACACAAATATATTGTTAAAATAAATATTAGAGTACATATAATTGTTTTTCAACTGCCAATAGACTTTTTTTTTAAATAACTAATTTTATCAATTTCAAATCTAATTTATCATACAACTTGTTCAATCATATTGAACATTGTATAATAATTTAATTTTGGATGTAACACATCTTCTGATTGGCTGACGTTGTTTTGTTTATCAGCTCATAGACATAATTTTGTCATGTGACCGTGACATCATCAATGTTTTTTCATGGTTTACACCTGTTTAAAATGGAATTTAGAATTAAATTATAAGAAATGATCTTTACCATGAAAAAAATCAGCATTTCAAAGCATAAACATGTGATAAAATAAATGTGGAATGTGTCCATGGGACACAGATGATGCCCCCGCTTGCATATCTAATAAAGTTATAAAGGGATACAACTGAAGAATGGTAAAAGTGATGCTACCCTAATTTGTACTTGATCTGAGTTTTGTGGTAATAAGTATTGTGTATAAGTTTCATAACATTTGGTTGAGGCAAACTAAAGTTAAAGAACGGAAACGAAAAATTCAGCAATTTTTATGTTTGTAAAGGAGCATAACTCAAGAACGGTAAAAGTGACACCACCCAATTTCGAAATTGATCTGTATTCTGTAGTAATAAGCATTGTGTATAAGTTTCATAACATTTGGTTGAGGCAAACTAAAGTTAGAGAACAGAAACGAAAAAATTCAGCAATTTTTATGCTTATATAAAGGGCATAACTCAAGAACAGTAAAAGTGACGCCACCCAATTTCATACTTGATCTGTATTCTGTGGTGATAAGCATTGTGGTATAAGTGTCATAATATTTGGTTGAGACAAACTAAAGTTAGAGAACAGAATTGAAAAATTCAGCAATTTTTATGTTTATAAAGAGCATAACTCAAGAACGGTAGGAGTGACGCCACCAAATTTCATACTTGATCTGTATTATGTGGTAATAAGCATTGTGTATAAGTTTCATAACATTTGGTTGAGGCAAACTAAAGTTAGAGACTGGAAACCAGCTTTGGGACGTACGCATGGACGGACGGACGTAGGGAAGTACAGACGGACAAGGGTAAAACTTAATGCCCCCTCCGCTGCGGTCGGGGCATAAAAAATTGCTGTTTTGTCTCAGTCTAACTTTTTATAAACAAGCATGAGTAAGCTAATTATCTATATTAATGTATGATCCAGATTTTCCCTTGATTAAACTAGCTGTATAGGCAACCTATTTCATCTATTACAATTACAGCTGTAACATCTCTACCTTCATTGTCAATAGATTAGACTTATTTATTTTGCTCACTTTCAATCACTTCATGCATCATCCATATATATATATATATATGGAAGTTTCATTAGCATCAGTACATAACCACCATAATTAAAGGTTGAGAAAAGTGCATTTCAGCAAATTTGCAATCACGGAACATTGTCAAACTAAATCATTTTAATACAAAAGCTTGTATTTTTATATAAGTGTTGTAGCGATTGATTGTTTCTTGCTTAAAGTTCAGTGGAAAATATTTCATGCATATACAGGACCATGCAATATTGAAAATAAAGATGTGTCAATCTGAATTATGGGTATTAAATGAATACTTGCCCCTCTTATATTTTAAAAACAAACAAGCATTCTGTGAGTATTGCATGGCAATACATAGTCCCCTACCGGTTACAAATTCATTGTAATGGAACGAAATTCTAACTTGATCTATAACTTGTCATGGTGTAAACTACATAAAAATATCAAGTCAAAATCTTCAAGCATGACGAAAAAAACTGTTGAAAACTGATTATTTAAGTGAATTTTCTATGTCCAAAGACCATAACTCTGCACAAATTATCAGACTGGAACAATATTCCAACTTGATCTGTAACTTGTCATGATAAAACTATATACTAATTATCAAATCAATATCTTCAAGAATGACAAACAAACCTACCACTTAATTCTTCAAACAATTTACAAAAGAAAAGGGAAAAAATCCAAAATGTCATTTTGTCTTTTAAAAAATGAGTTATTTCCCTTTGAACAAAAATTTAATTCTAGGGAAAGGGCTTTAACTGAACAAAGAGAAAAGCTAAAATCGTGAAAATTGAACTTGACCTGTAACTTGTCATGATATATAAATAAACCAAATATCAAATCAATATCTTCAAGCAAGAAGAAAAAAAGTCTGGAAAACTGATTTGCCTGACTGACAGCTGGACAGACAGACAGACAGACAGACGGAGTGCAAACCTAAAGTCCCCTTAGACTTCGTCAGTAGGGGATTAATAAAATCCAACATAGTACAAATGATATGGATTTCAGCTACTATAGGTCACTGTTCTGCCTTCAATGAGCAAAACCCATACCATACTGTCAGCTATAAAAGGCCCTGACATGACAAAATGTGAAACAATTCAACCAAAAGAAATAATGGCCTGATTTATAACAAAACAATGAACAAAAACAAATATGACAGACAGCAACCAACTACAAACATTGAATTACAGCTTGGATGTAATTTATTGATGCAGTGTTCCAGCTAAGATTTCAAAAGGGCAGGGTGCCAATCCTGAAAAGGGCATTTAATGTGTGAAATGATAACATGAAAAGGGCATGTTTTCATAAAGTATTAATCAAAACATTGTCTTTATTCATTGATTCACTATTACATATATACATGTACATGTATACAAGTACAACATGAATACAAATTATATTACTGAATGATCGGCCCAGATAGAACTCTATCTTTCTACTTTTTATGCTGAAAACTTATCAAGCACCTTGTCATATAAGGTTGGAGGAGAAAGGTCAACAAGTAACAAATGAGGTGCAGAGTTGGATTGCATTGCTCCATGTACATTTACACTAAGTATCCCAGATTTGTTGCTAATTTTGGGCTTCAAGTTGTTGCCATATATATCTAATTTGTCCTTTAATGGTTACTACACTTTTAGGGAGCTAGATATTTAATATCATAAAATCCACACACCCCCCTTTTTTCCACTTCCAAAAAAAAATTCATAAATGGATGTTAAGTAAGCATATACTAATTATTTCCAGTTTCACTCTGTTCCCCAGATAATATTTATTTTTTTTATGAATTTAAATGGCACTCCTATTTCAGCTGTTAATCAGATTGAAATTCTTTACTGGCTATAAATAACCAGATACAGTGTTGTCCTTGACATAGGGATTTTTCCATATTTGCCTGCCAAAAAGTACATGGCTGCCAACAAATATGTAACATACCTGCCAACCTCTGAAACCTTCAAAGAGGGAGATCTCCCTCTCAGCTATGACAGCTGAGGGGGAGATTTCGAGCGAACGCCATTTTCAAGCTAAATATATGACCTGTACTCTTATTCATCTACAAAACACCAATAAGAGTTAATAAATATACTTTATTTCTTCAATTCATTTTTGTAATCTATACAAGATGGGTTTTTTTCCTTCTGAATCTGAATCTGAATAGGTACGTTGCAGGGCCAGTATATTGCATCTATGGCAACGAAAGAGAGGCGCTGGAAAATTAGTCCAACGATGTGAGGGCAACCAAAGTTTTGAAGCTCTCAATTGTCTTGGCAGGCACGAGATTGTCTGATAGTCTATTCCAATCGGAAATTGTTCAATACCTCCGAGTCTCATAACTCATAACATTCCATATTTTGATTTTGTTGTGAATCTCACACTAAGCATGCTTTTGAACATCGTACAGACCACCAGAAGCAACCGAAAAGTTGATTGAACATAATGTGCACAATAAAGATTCATTGTGCTGAGTGAACTTGGTCATAAAAATTGAAATTTTTTATCCAATCTGCTTGACATTTGCAGTTATATTTCTTCTTCTTAACACTGACGCTTGGTCCACACAAGGACCTCTATCTTGTCGGGTCAGGGTTGGCAAAGTATTACCCGGGCGGGAAAAACCTGGTGGGAAAACGCGGGTTTTCCCGGGCTGGGCAATACTCCTAGAAACAGGTAATACTGGGCAATACTGGGTAATATGATTTTCAAGCTTATTTTTACACAAAATAGTAAAGACTTGTTGTAGTTTAATAGCATTATAGCTAAATATTTACATTTTATACAGATAACCATTGAGAGTCATTCCTGAAGATTGAAAATTCAATTTCTTCCTTTTCTCCACTAATTCTTTGTAGGCAGAATACAAGTTTTGGACATATCAGGATACCTTTTTAATTTCCAAGCTTTGTTTCAATATTAAATCCAAGTTGAAAAATGCATTTTATTGCAGTGTTTAAGTGAATTGTAAATTTTGATTGTTATACAATCATATTGCTAAATAAACACCCTAAGGGGACAGGCCATGAACACTTATAGAAATCAAAAGGCTGATTATTGTAATATAAACAAATCTGTATTATTATCTGAATAATTACTTATTAATTAGTGATGTACATAAACATATGCTCAAACTTAGTAAAATTTTTAGTAATGAACAAAAAATGTTTAAAAGTATTTTTCCTTACATAGATCAGGAACATATATATTGACGGGACTTGACACTACCTAATTGCATACTTGCCAACCTCTGACAATGAGAAATCATGTCATGACATGACATGACATGTCAAAAAGCGTGTGAAAAC